CCATCATTGTTGTTTGGCAGGCCCAGGCTGGATTCAAACCTGCCACTTTAGGTGTATGTGGCTGGCACCTTAGCCACTTGAGCCACAGGCGCCGAGCCTATTTTTAATTTTTAGAGATGGGGTTTGGGTTTGGATATATTGCCCAGGCTGGTAGCAAACTTAGGGTAAGGGGATGAAGCAATCATCCTACCTTGTTCTCCTGTGATTACAGGCGTGAGCCACTGAGCCCATCTCCTGGGGTCTTTGAATACTAAGATGAGATTAGCACCTCCTGAGACCACATATTTTTTAAAAAAGATGAGGGTCTTGCTTTGTTGCCCCAGGCTGGAGTACAGTAACTATTCACAAGTATGATCATAGCTCCCTGCAGCCTTCAACTCCTGACCTCAAGCAATTGTTCTGCCTCAGCCTCCCAAGTAGCTACATGTGTAACAGGCTTAAATTTTTACCTTAAATTTGAATCTCTTGATTTAGGCTCAGAGACTTAGCAATTTCTTTGTTCTGTTTTCCAGAGAGATGGCTGCCCCAAAATTGTCAACTTGGGGAGCTCTAAGACAGACCTCTTCTATGAACGCAAAAAGTATGGCTTCAAGAAAAGGTGATTGGTGGGTGCCCCCTTCATCCCCACATCAAGCTGCTGCAGCTGCCAAGAAAGACGCCCACTACCACCAGCAGAGAGGGAGCAGAGCCCAGAGCATCGCCAGAATTGCCTGCTAGTGTCCCGGCACCTTGACATCCCTTTTCCCCTCATCCAGACTTGTTAGAAATGGAAAAGGATTCTCCACAGACCACCCTGGCAGACTATGTAAGGGAAAAATAGATTGTTTTTTCTTGAATTTGGGAAGCAAGGCTCTGTTCTCCACATGGATATGTTCTCTCACCAAGACCTTCAAGAAAGGAATAATATTTCACTCTACTCTTTGAGGACTTTGCTGTAAAGCACACACAGGGGAAAACAGGTTCTTGCAGCAGCTCTGATGGCAACTGTACTTGGGGGGCCTTCAGTGTGTGGTGGGAGCTACCAGAATGGTAATTGTGGGCATTTAGGCTTGTACTGCTTTCATGTTACTTTCCTTCTAAGAATTTGAAACGCTGTCTGTTGCTATTATGTTAATAAAGTTGGGGCTTATTTTCTGATAGTCAATCATCTCTCCCCATTTGATTTTTAACTCCAGGAACTTATTTTAGCCACCCAGGAATCTGTGGTTCAAAACAGAGGTATGGGATTCTTCAAGCAACTTGTCCTATTTCTATTACTAGTAAAAGAAATTCAAAACCACTCATACCTTTCAGTTAAATGTAAATCAAAGTCATTTTTTGTTTCACAAAACAATATTTACTGTGGCTTTTTCGGGGTTTCTTCGAGACAGAGTCTATGTCGCCCTCAGTAGGGTGCTGTGGCATCATAGCTGGCAGCAACCTCAAACTCTTGGGCTTCATCAGCGGTTCTCAACCTGTGAGTCATGACCCACAGGAACTATATTAAAGGGCTGTGTGGCATTAGGAAGGTAGAGAACCACTGGTTTAAGTGATTCTCTTGTCTCAGCCTCCCAAGTAGCTGGGACTACAGGCCAGCTGCAGGCCCACCACAACGCCCGGCTATTTTTTATTGCAGTTGTCATTGTTGTTTAGCTGGCCCGGACTGGGTTCGAACCTGCCAGTCTTGGTGTATGTGGCTGATGCTGTAACCACTGTGCTATAGGTGCCCAGCCTTTACTATAATTATTGTACGCTGATATTTTCATTTTATTCCATTCTATTCTAAAATTTCTGGTTGAAATCCATTAAATCAGGTAATTTTATGACCCCACTAGTGGGTGACAACCCAGAGTTTAAAAACAATTAGCTACATCATAAATAGGATCTTTGAGTTCCTTGTGCTTCTCCAAGGCCCAGCACACAATAGCCAACCACTCAAACAATTACTGGTGGGGTTTTTTTGTTTATTTGTTTTTGAGACAGAGCCTCGAGCTGTCAATCCTGGGTAGAGTGCTGTGGCATCACAGCTCACAGCAACCTCCAGCTCCTGGGCTTAAGCAATTCTTTTTTTTTTTTTTTTGAGACAGAGCCTCAAGCTGTCCCCCTGGGTAGAGTGCCGTGGCATTACAGCTCACAGCAACCTCCAACTCCTGGGCTCAAGCGAGTCTCCTGCCTCTGCCTCCCAAGTAGCTGGGACCACAGGCGCCCGCCACAACGCCCCGCTATTTTTTGGTTGCAGCCGTCATTGTTGTTTGGCGGGTCCGGGCTGGGGATTCGAACCCGCCACCTTAGGTGTACGTGGCTGGCGCCCTAGCCGGTTGAGCTATAGGCGCCCAGCCGGCTTAAGCAATTCTTTTGCCTCAGCCTCCCAAGTAGCTGGGACCACAGGAGCCCGCCACAACGCTTGGCTATTTTTTGGATGTAGTTGTCATTGTTGTTTTTGGCAGGCCTGAGCTGGATTCAAACCTGCCAGCTCTGGTGTATGTGGCGAGGGGTCACAAACTCAGGACTGTGGGTGAGTAAAAAGGGAGTGAAAGGGAAGGGTTTCCTTCTGAGGGCCATGAGTGAAAGAAAAAAGGAAAATATATAGTAAGAAAGATGCAGTATTGAAAAAATGGTTTGAAAAAATATATAGTAAGAAAGAAAAGGGAGAAGTCTAAGAAGAATACCCCAAGAGTGATGATAAATGGTGTGTGACCTTCAGCCTCAGTGTCTGGGAGTGGTAGGGAGGTGGAGGAAGCAGAGACACAAGCCCTGTCTAAAAGAGACAGTTGCTAGTCAACTCCAGGCAATTGCTACCAGCTTGAATGCTCAGTGTTGCCAGATATTTTGAATTTAGAACAAGTGACAATATTTTGGGGGCAATATTTCAATTTTTAAATATTGGAAAGTCACTTTTAAAATGTAATATGTCAGTATATGCCAAGAAAATATACCCACCCAGATGTGGACCGTGGCCTGCCACTTAACAGCTTGTAAATTAAAATCAACTTATGAGGGAATCGAATGGAATTGACTAAATTTCAGAGAGACTAGATGTCACTCTAATCTGATGTGTAGCTTTTCAATAGTAGCTTGAAGGTAGAACATAAAGGTGAAAGATCTTTTTCTTGGCTGAAATTCCTGCCTTAAAAAAGACTCCAACTATTTCCATCTTTTCCCACTTACTCAGTTCCCTATCTATCCCCAAGTGGCCTTGCCATCACCAAGGCTAAAACGTTAAGTTTCTTTGAATACTGCAATTTAGTGTCTTACCAAAAGACAGGTTTGTTCACTTACCTTACTTTACCAGTCTTAACGAATAAATAGCAATCATCTGCCCTCAGCTACTCTTCTTCAAAGCTAGTTTCTATTGTAACTTTGCTCCTTCCCAGCTGGAGCAGTAGATTGAATCAAATTGAGAAACTATTTTCTTGGATAACTTGGAAGAAACAATACAAAATTTCTCACCCCATGGTGTGAGAGAGTGACTCATTCTTGAGTTAATTGGGGCCAATTACGACCAGCTTGACTTGTCATGGCACCAAAACACCTGACATTATTTGCTTACTCTCTAACAGGAGACTTGTCTCCACCTTCTCTCCCTCAATGCTTGCTTAGGAAGCTCACCATTTTGAAAGCATGGTGTATGCTTCTCATCATTATTCAAAACGGGAGGGAAATTTGGAATGCCTGAGTAGGAATTAAGCTCACAATTAAGCCCTAGCAAGATGAAATCACACGTTGGGGAGAAAAAAAATCTTTTCCTCACCACATGATGAATGGAGACATCAGAGGTTAAGAAGGGTTTTTACCTTTTCTTAAATTTTATCCTTTCCTATTTATATACTAATCCTTTACCCAGAGATCCCACTAAGGAAGCTGGATTTCTCATTTTGTTTTAGTGATACTCAGGGCTGGTGTGTTTTCAGCATTACAAGAGAGATTTGATTAAAAGCACAAATACGCAGAAACTCAAGCCTCCCTCCTAGTGATTCAGTCTGCCTTCCCTTGTCTTGTCCGAAACGGTAGGAGACATCTACCCTTTATCTGCTTAGATATACTCCATCCAACTTTCCTGAGATCCACTCAGGAAACAACTCAGGTGAACAACTCAGCTCGTTTGGACCTTTACCGTTCTGTCGTGGAGTTTCCCACTGGAGAATGCACACCAAACTGAGCACTGGATATGCATATGTAGGTTACAATTTGGCCCGAATAGTTATCTTTAAATTAATAGTAATTATTTCAGCTAGGCTTTACATACAGTATCGTATTTTATCCCCCACACGATCTCCATTTTATAGATGCTGTAAAGAGATTCCTCGCACTGAATCTAGACCACACGGTAGGTGACCGACTGGGGTGTAAATCCACCTAATGGCAGCCTAAATAAATGACTACAAATACCAACATCCCTTGCCAGGGCTCATTGTGCAAGCGCATATTCCCCAGGGCCTAGTCCTCGCGGTTGGAACCAAAATCCAATCAGACGCCGCCTTTCCCAGCTCCCCGACCAACGGGAAGGCTGTTGCTAACACACCAGTTATATTTTTAGATTTCTGTGCTCTGGGACGGTGTAGGCCGGCCAAGTCTCACCGCCCGGTGGAACACGGTTAGAGTGAAGAAAGGGAGGGAGGCGAGAGAAACGCAGGGTGGAGCGGAGCAAGGCGGAGGGGGCGTGTGCGTGACGCTTTGTCTCTCGCTGACGCACTAGGCAAATAGTCCCTGGAGGTGGCCCCAGGGTTGCAGCGCTGAGGGGGATGGGGACGCTTAGGCTCCCTTCCACCTGCCTGTCCCCGTGGAGTTTGCCCTCCAGCCTGGCATTTCTCTGCTGCAGTCAAGGAAAGCGCGTTTAACCCCCATCGCTACCACTACTCTGCCCTTGCCAAAAAAAGTGATCAATTAAAAAGAAAAAAAAAAAAAAACTGCCCCTGGAAACTTTCGATACTCGCTACCCCACGTGGGTTCGGCGATGGCTGTTGAGCCAAACCTTCTGAAATGAGAATAAAGGTAGGGGCGGGAAGTAGAATTGGGGAATGGGCGATTTGTGGGATGAGACAGATCCTCACACACAATCCTCCAGACGTCCCGGCTTCGCCTCTGGCAGTTCAGTGTGTGACCTCAGAACACAACCTTCGCTACCCCCAACCCTGGGTCCCACACAGTCACAAAGAGGTAAAGTGAGTGGCCCGTGTGGCCAGGCGAGTGCAGAGGGCCCAAGGCGCGGACTTGGCACGCCCCGTGCGGAGTTCAGCGAGCCTCGCTCCGCAGCACAAGGGGCCGTCAAGTGCAAGAGCTCGGCGTCGCCCCTTGTTCGGGCTGGTGTCACCGCGCGCCGGCGGGGCTGTTCCTAGGACAGTACTGTGACTCTCCCTTGTCTCCCATGTGGGGGTCGCCAGCTGGGGAGACTTAACGGGGATGTCTGGACAGGGGCGCTCTTGTGCGGAAACGAGAAGCCAAAAACCGCGAGTGTAGGTTAATTATGGCACTCAGTTCGTTTCACTGGCCGGCGGGCTCTACTTCGCCTACTCTTCCTCCCGCACAGCAGGCCCCATGCCCCCAGTTCCTCTTGGCCCTTACGAGTCCCCCGACGAGGAACGAGGCGCTCAGAAGACGCAGGCCAACCCGAGTTCAGGTTCGAAGTCTCCAGAGCCCGTGTTGGCCCCCGAGCTCCCCACCTGCGGAGACACCGTAACTGGGGCGAAGCGAGAACTGCGGGACCCTCAGCCCAGGGCTGGAAGGACGCCTTGGGGAGACGGTTCGGGCAAACATCCGAACCGTCAGCGCCAAGGCAGGTGCTGGGCTGCAGACTCAGCACTCCCAGAAGGCCCAGCGATGTCGTCCGCTCTCCCCGCGACATTGACCCTCCCAACACAGAGTTAGCTTCCACTGCGCGCCTGGCCCGTGAACAGCTCTGTCCCGGGCCGGGCCCTACTGTCACCGAACGCACCGTCTACCAGGCAGACACCTTACACAATAAGCACGAGTTCAGAGAGCGGCTTGGGCATGGAGAAAATAACTACGGTGCGCGCTGTCACAGGAGGGAAAGGCAGCCAGGCTAGCTAAGGAACCCGCAACGCGCAGTGGGGTGTACAACGTGGCGGGACTCAGGACCGGCCGGGTTGGTCAGCACCAGAGGGTTAAGCCTCCGGCCGGAGAGAAAGTAGTCCCGGCCAGGCCCCCGGCCCCGCCCCTGCACGGCGGAGGGACGCATCACGCAGGGGTGGAGAAGCTGGATCCGTGCGCAGGGTTTGTAAGGGTGAAACTTTTCATTGACTTTGCTCACTTCGGGCTGGGGCGCGGGAAGGTGTGGGTCTTCGGATAAGAAAGGCGAGTGACAGGGGCGACTAGAGGCCAGAAGGGCAGGACTGTCCTCCGCCCCGCGACACGAGTCACCCTCTGCTCCACTATCCATCCCCGCGCCGTCGCTGCCAGCCGGCCCGTCCTCCCTTCGTCCCCCTGCACCGATCCCAACCTCCAAAAAGCTGAAGGAATTATTACTGAGCCAATAAGACCCTCGTTGGTCCCCCAACCCTCAACGACAAAAAGGACACATTGGCTCCCGGCCCGGTGGCGCCCGGGAAGGAAGGGAGAGCAACTCCGCCCCACGCTCAGGACTACCCTGGAGGGAGAAGCCGCCTTGCCGCCGGCAGAGCGCCCCGCCACCGCGCAGACCCAAGCAAGTGAGTGGGAGTGTGCGGGCGGGGGGCCACCGTGAGACTTAGCAGGCCCGACCGCCTCCCCCAACCCCTCCCCACCCCGGCTCTTCGCTTTGCTGTACACCACGTTGCTGTCGCCCCCCTTCCCCAGCCTGGCCAACATTTTCCTCTCCCTTCTACCTTCCCTCTGGACACCCCCCTCTCTTTGCCACGGGGCTCCTCTGCTCACGCCATCGCTGATCCTGGGGTACCGGAGAGTCCCCTTCTCTTCCAGTTCCAGTGTGGCCCCCTACTGGGTGGGGTGCATTTCCTCCCTTCCCCGCCTCCCCAGCTCTTCATATCCCAGATTCTCGCTGGATTTCCTTTATTCTCCAAAGAAACATAACTCTCCCCAACTTAAAATAAATCAGAGGAAGGAAGGGGATCCAGGCCTTGTTTTTCTGCTACTTTTCCCGTGTGCGGGGAAGAGGGGTGGTAATTGTTAATAGGAATGGAGGTTGAACACCCCCACCCCGTTTTGGCGATAGAACGGGTCAGTGGAGATTGTCCTTGGGCCAGTGAGCCAGAATTCACTGTTTCAGCTAAAGCTTTTTATACTCTAACGTGTTTGAAGGGAAGACTGGGTGGGAAAAAAAGTATCCATAGAGCAACACCAGTGAGTAGATTCTAGGTGTTTTCAGCGAGGTGCCTAGGAGGAAGGGCTTGACTCTTAAAACTCCTGTCCACAGAGTGAACTGTGCCCTTGACCAGAAGACAGACGAAGGGAAGGAGGGTACAGAGACAGCAGCGACAGCCGGCAGGCCCTCTCCCTCCCTCAGGAGGAGCCAAAACGCCACACAGCAAGCTCCAACTTGGGCCGGACGAGGGCTGGGGTGCCTGCTCAGTATCTAATATTTTTCTCTCTTGCGACCCTACCCTGGGAGTGGGTCTCATCTCTGATTTTCCAACAGAAAAACACTGTTGCTTCCCTGGGCGCCTACCCCCATCCCTCTCTGAAGCACAGGGGAAAAGCAGCTTGTGTGGGAGGAAGGATTAGGGAGGTTTAACACCCAGTAGGGGAGCTTTGCCTAGGATCTGGTCTGGTCGTGGAGCAAGGCCTTGAAGTGGGAGGACTCACACGGAATTTTAAATATTAGAAGACGTCCAGGTGTCAGATATACGGGTTTTTCCTTTCCTGCTCGGGAACCTTTTCCCATTTCTCTAACCTTGGTCCGGTTACTTAAACTTGGATTAGAAGTGGGGTGAGGCTTGGTCCTTGCTGGCGTCCGGACGGCGTCCCTCAGCTTAACTGGGAATTTCTTTGACCAAGAAGATGAGAAAACTGGGTTTAATTTTTGCTTTTCCTTTTCTGGCTGTGAGTGTGCTGGACCCTAGCTTGCTGGGCATTAAGTGAAAAAGACTCGTTTCTCTTTGAATCTATGGTCCCTACAGCAACTGCAAGACGGACCGCCCAGCCCCCGGAATTCGGATGGGGGGGGGGACGGGACGTGACCTTATCTATGCCAGCCCACCCATCCCTTCACCCAGAAAAAACTCATTAGAAGAAGATCCCTAATTCAGCAGTCATGGGAGGTGATGAAGGGAAATGGGGGTAAAGTTCAGCCTTTCCTAAAGCCTAGAAATGGAGAAGGTGGGGCGGTACAATACCGGGAGTAGGCCTTCTGGGTAGAATTTGTATGAAATGCATTAGGGCGGCGATGGCGGGGGTGGGGGGACCGCCTGCCCAGTGCGCATGTGCATCGGAAACTTTTCTTTGGTTCTCGTTTCCTCCGCCAGCTCCCTTGCCGGGCATGCGTAGTTCAGCCGGCCCGGCCTTCGCAGAGCACGGAGGGAAGTGTAGTGTGCGGAGAAAGTAGGTCACTTGCTTGAGCCTAGTCCTGGGTTGTCTGAGGACTACGATTCCCAGGATACAGAGCGCCTCCCCGCCTCCCGGTCTGGTCTGGGATCGGGTCGAGTCCGGGCTCCAGAGGAACCTGGAACGCAGTAGAAAGGGTCATCTTAGTCGAAAGGGGACGCGTGTTGTTCCAGTGGCCTGTGCTTGAGGCGTGATGTGAGACTGGGCGGGTGGTGCAGTCAGCCGCACAAGTCCTAGAGGCCTTTGAGGCCACGCCCTCGCGTCCAGGCCTCTAAGACCAGCGGGGCGGGTCCCTCTCCCGACAGCATCTAGGCACCCAGTCTGTGACACCTACTGGCCTTGTTAAAATTAAGGGCCCTTTTCCCTTTTTACACATTCATTCGAATCCTGTAGTACTTGGCTGTAGAATGATCTGGGTGTGTGAGACTTGAGGGGCCTGAATATTTTTATAGGTTTGGGCTCAGTTGATTCCTTCACCATTATCCTTACTTTCCCCTTTAAAATGTATTTTTTTTTCTTCTTAAAAGCTTTCACATTTTTGTCAGTATTTCTCTCTGGCATCTGTATCGACTGAGACCTCTTTCCAGCTTCACGCCCCATTTTGTCTTTCTCCTAGACACTTACTGAAACATTCAGCACAAGGGACCCGAATCCAGGTTTAACTTGTGTCTGGAAGTAAACAAATAAATGATAAGATTCTTACTGAAACTGGACAGAATTTGCTCTCACGTTTGCAATTTAATATATTTGAGAAGGGAGAGATTTTACTATTATTAAGCACTTAGCCTTCCCCCCCCCACTTCGCCTTTTGCCCCCAAATCGGTCCTCTGCAGCTTCTTAATGAATCTTCTTGTTGCTTTTGTTGAAGGGTAGTTATTTCTAAGTTTTCTAATATACGACACTTCCATAAATATTTTTTGTATAGACTCTAGAATTTGTCAATAGCTTTTTAAAAAATGAACAAACCCATCTGAATGGTCGCTCCTGTCTTTAGGTAAGGATGTCACTGGTGCTTTAGTCCTGTGCTCCATAAGCTTCTTGAAGTCAAAATTAGAGTCTGAGCTGATAGAACAGAAAATCTTACTCTGGTTGTCGGCATGTTTGTAAAGTTCCACCCCACAGCCACCTGGCCTAGCCTGTTCTCCAATTAAAGAGGCAAAGGTGGCATTATATGCTTCCTTATTTGTGGGACAACATCACTGAGGTATAAATTGATGTGCAGCTTTAGTTGCTTATGCTGCAGAAAATGGTTAGCTAGGCAGGGCTGATGACAGTGGTTCTATTGTGTTTTGGGGTGGGAGGCTTATTTCCCAATGACTTTGGCCTGCATTTAAAATGCTTCCTTTCTGAGGCTGAACTGTTCAGGGCTGGTTAACTTGGAAGGCAATTATGCCGCAAAGTTTAAGGAGGCCTAGAAAGGTATAGAGGCCCTTTGCTATGGGTTGAATACCAAGAGGCATATTTTAAGAGGCCGTGTGGTACCATGGGAGAAGTGTCATATGTTGACTTCAGTCTGTCATTTCAATCACACTTTGAAAACACTGTCTTTAACTCCAAGCCCATTCTTGGGGAACTAATGTCAACTTTCTTCACGATGTTTCAGACACCTCTGCCATACCACTGTGGCCCTTTGAAACCTCCATTCTTTTTTTTTTTTTTTTTTT